TCTTGAGAAATTAAAATCTTAATTTACTGTTCTCCAATGCCAATTACTATGTCAGTGAAGTGTCTTAACAGTCAGAGAATTGGTCAGTCAGCGCAGGTAAGTGACATGCTTGTGGCATGTCAAGTCCCGAATATGATCAGTACAGGTTTTTTCCTCCATATACTCCTACAAAAATTATGAAATAACATTTCTACAAGTTTAAGTCTCAAAATGGCAGATAAATAATATAGTTTCAAGGATGTTTTTAATCACTAAATGATTTTAACATGTATAAAAAAGTAAACATAATGCTTCTATTCAACAAAAAGAACACATAACAATCAAACATCCATGCATGATATATGCATTCAAAATAAAATTACTCAGTGAACCAAACATGACAATCTTGTAAAGTTTGATCATTCTGACTTCTAAGTTCAAAAAAGCTAAAAGTAATCAATTAGAAGAAAAGCTCAACAAAAATAAATACTGGGCCACAGCACTGCCAACAGAACATAGGAAAATGCGTAACTACTGGACTCTCAGACCTGCTATGACACCGATGTCACAAGTGTCTCTCCACCAGCTCTGCAAGGGGTGACCCTAATCCAACAATATCAAGACTTCATTCATATGCCAGCATACTTACAATTAGTGCAAAGAATCATCCAAGATCATTTACATTACTTGAAAATTTAAAATTTTTTGGCAATGGATTTGGAGATGGCTCAGTTAATATCATCAAGTGCTTCTTCCAGGGTGTGTGGTACTCCAGGGTGCTGTACACAGCACCTGCGTAGTGGCTCACAACCATCTGGAGCTCCAGTACAGAAGAAACAGATGTCTTCTCCTGGCCTCCACAGATACCAGGCGCACAGACATACATACAGGCAACACACACACACACATAATAAAAAATTTTTTTAAGTTGGCAACAATTCATAGTATAACTTACTCCCAGACAACACTTATACTTAAGATGGCTTTTGCTCTTCCCACTACTCTGCACAGCCAATGCCTGGGCAAGTCTGGTTGGCTCTACAGCTCTTCCCATGGGCCAACAAGAAGCACCAACAAGCACACTTTCCCCCAGTAGCCTGTCTTTAATAGATCACTGCATTCTAAACCTTCAAATCAACCAATTCCTCTATTTGAAGCCACTTATTCTTCAGACATATTATAGGTATGTTCTTTAAAACAAAAAACATGAAAGTAAATTAAACAGGGGTGGGTTTTACTTACCTAAACTGATGATTGTGACAGATAAAAATGAGGTCATTATAAGCATAGTCAGATTTTTAAAAAACAAATACCAAAGATCTGCTTTTTTAGGTTTTCAACCTAAAAAGGTCCTAAAATGAAGGAGTAAGTCTTCATTACATGAGGTTAAGTAGGCATGTCTCAGATTACCAATTAGAAGACAGAAGTTTAAGCACAGTTGTGTATGGCACTCTTGCAATCCCAGTGAGAAGGGAGGGGGGTCAGAAGTTCAAGGTTACCTTCAGCAATATCACAAGCTGGAGGCCAGCCTGCGCTACAAGAGACCCTGTCTCAAAAAAGTAAAAACCAAACCAAAACCAAAAAAGCCCATTATTCAAAAAGGTGAAGGTCTGACCATTTCTACCATTAACCCATGATGCTTTTTTGTTTACAGCAGTACAGTACCACGAAAGAAACCCATGGCTTCATATATACTTGGTAGGCATGCTACCACTGAGTTTACCCTCTGACTCTGGGTCATAGGCCTCTGCTGTGCTGCCTGTGTGATACATGTACTTAATAACTGTCTTTGACATAAACATTTCAAGTTTCACTTGTGTGATTACCTTTTTTGAATTAGAAAAGCATTATTAAATATTAAAAACCAAGGATCTAAAATCCTTATATGATTCTGAAAACAAGAACCCCCAAGGCTTAACAAGAATAACAGCCAGTTAGGAGGTTATCCCAGTCAGCTAGGCCAGTAAAGGAATCAGCCATTACATGTCAACTACCTTTAAGGGAATGGTAACTTTTTAGAGAAACATGCTGCCTTGGGCTGTCTTTGCTGAACCTCTGAGAGCATCTACAAAAATAACAGGAACCCACTTTCAAGCCCTTACTCAGTTAGCAAGAGTAGTTCTCTCTTCAGGGGGAAAAAAAAATCAGTAACTGTACAATGTGAGGCACACTTAAGTATCCCAAATCCTCACACTCATTTCCTGTGCTGTTGCCTAACTTGTGATGTGCTAGGTGTAAAGCTAGGACTCAAAAGTATCTTTCCCAAACAAGAGTGACAAGGACCTTGTATGTGATAGACTTTTAAACAGATAGATAAATTTAGACAAGGGAAAGGCTGACAATTAAATCATTACTGTTGGCTTAGAGGGAAGTTTTAAGTACAGCAGCTAAGTCGGGGCCTCCTAACTTAACAGAACACTATGGCAACCACAGCATTTCCCATCAAAACGCTTTCTGTTTGAGATGGGGGTCTGTAGATATCTATTTGTGCACTATGGCGCTGGGACTGTAATAGCCTACTTTAAAGGGCATCAGGAAATACAATTTGCTCCCTTCTGGAAGAGTATTCATGACTACTGTAGACAATGCTACATCTCCAATTTCAACGGCAATGAGCTAGAGATCGAAAGCATAAAGTGCACAATCCCCCAATACCACTTTCAAAGTTTTTACATTTCCCTGACACCTGAAAGCACTAGACCACTATACTGACTTTATTTTTAAACAATTGATTATTCTGGGTTTTTGTTGTTGTTGTCGTTTTTTATCCTGACATTTGGATGAAAACAGAAACATGAGGAAAAAGATGGGACTTCGTTAAAGAATTTACATCCAACATGGTCAAATATTATTTTCCTAAAATTACTTGGAACCGAGATGCTAACTATGATACTCTCTTCCCACCATAGAAGAGCAGTGGTAGCACTCTTGCGTAGTGTGTGTAAGCCCTTGTTTTTGATCCCCAGCAATGCAACAGAAAACACAAATAAGTAAGACCCACAATTACTTGTCATCTTCAAAGATTTGGAATAAAGAAAAGGTAAGGGAACAAAACAAGTGATTTGTTTCACCAATGGGCTTGATGATGCATCCGAACGGAGCATTGTCCTCACAGAGCAAACAGCCTCCCAACTCCAAAGGACTCCATGCCCTGAACTGTTCTCACCTACTGATGGATACAGAGTACTACCTTTTGAGAGTGACAGCCCCTACCTATATAATTATTTTATGGGAGTATCACCTCTCTCAATCACCATGATTTCTTATGAACTACTATTTTCCAGAATCAAGAACCACTCACAACTTAGAAGAACCGTCCTGTAACAAAGACAAACTCTCATGTCCTGGAGCAGAAGGTGTGTCAGAGGCCAACATCTGCCGGGCTCTCAGTCCAGAACAGAGAAGCTCTGGAGAAATTCATGCTCATTCACGCTGGAGCTGGCCATGGTGACAAGCTCCAAGTCCCACTTGAGCCTACAATTCAACACCAACTGGAGCAAACAGAAAGACACCCCATCCAAACATAAGGAAACAAGATATCATCCTTTCTGAGGTTTTAGTTATTTCTCTAAAACGTACTTCTTTGTATCTGGAAATAACTCCCCCCTTCATAATTATGTATGAGTGAAAAACATTTGCTGATTTGTTTTGGTTTGTTTGATTTTTGAGACCGGGTTCCCTTATATGGCCCAGTATGACCTCCTGACCATGCTGGGACAGTGTGGCTGCGCCACCATATACCATTCCATCTCATTTTTAACTGAAATTTTTCCTTTATGCAATTATGTTTTTCTGCCTCAAATCTATGATATATTAGACTCCTAACCTACAAAAAATTGTAAAACATTCAGGGAAAAACTTTCTTAACTCCAATAGTAAAATACAATTTAAAAAAAAAACAAACACAAAAAAAAGACCATAGTAGTAGTAAAGGCCATAGTAGTAGCAAACTAAAGTCATGAACAGTCTAACAACGTGGCAACAAGGTCATGTCCCATAGCCCTGGTATGATACTTGATCAGGCACCTGTCACAAAAACCATGAGAAATATTCTTTAGATCTAACTATTTTTATATAACCAATATAACCTGATGGCAGCTCAAATACCTACGTGTAAGGATTAATTTACATGTTTATCACTGTTACCCATTAAAATAGTTTTGATGAGCTGGGTAGTGGTGGTGCACGCCTGTAATCCCAACACTAGGAGAGGCAGAGGCAGTTGAATATCTGTGAATTTGAGGCCAGGATGGTCTACAGAGTGTATGTTCCAGGACAGCTAGGGCTACACAGAAAAACTTTGTCTTGAAAAACCAAAAAGAAAAAAGAAAAATTGATGAACACTTTATAGTTCCTTCCAGGATTATTTTGACAGCTCTGATTCATTTGTGTTTCTTTCCAGAATAAAGTGAGTAAAACTGTGATTTTTTTGGATACAGAATTATTTGCAAAAGTACCTTTGTAATAAAGGTTTGGGAAATGATACTGTTAGTATCACAATGTTAACCACACATCTATTTCTCTAAGCTGCAAAGATGACGGATCAAGCACATTCTTAAATAAAAAATTTTAATGGAGAATTGAATGTAAATAATCTCTAGTTCACCAGATTTCCAGTATCTGGATGATAGCTACATTCTCATGTATTTCAAGCACATTGGAAAGGCAGACATTACAAAGCTCTACAAGCATGAGCCAAGCATCCTGGGATAGCTCAGCATCAAAAGCACTACCACTCACGTTACCACTGCTTTTTTCTGTGACCACCATGGGTTCACTTGTCGTTTCTTATTCAGACATGTGGGTACTGCACTAGAAAATAAACTACCACAGAGACGAATAATGCAGTTCAACGTCAAGTCTCTTAGTTTCCTGAATTAAAAATATATGTCAACTCTACACTTACTGCTAAGGTGCTGGTGTCACCTGCAAGCAGAACATTAAGAGACATTCATAACAAATACTGAGAACCTGGGAAGGAGAGACAGAGCAGAGCTCATGGTTACCATATTTACACATACTCTTTGTTGTGTTTCAGTGCCACATGGTCTGACTCAAAGTAATACACATCAGGGTCATCATCTTCCTCTTCGGCAGTGTGCTGGCCGGCATTCTCTTTGGCAGATGGCAGTTGTCCAGTATTCTCTCTGGCCTCTGATGGTGGCTTACTTACTCCTTCACTTCCACAGTTCTGAGAGTCACAACACAGAACCTTTTCATTTTGAGAAATTTCAACACCATTCGTGGGAGACTCACGTACATTATCACTAACAGTTGTATTTGTTTCACTGGGACTGAGATTACTCTCCTCAAACTGTCCATTTTCTCTGTAAGGAGAAGTGTTTTTAGTGGGACTACCTCTGGCTGGGGCCGCCCTTCGAGGGGAGGTTCTCAGGGTGTAACGATGTTCTTGAGGTTCTGATAAAGACGTCATTTGCGCTGAAGCACAGTCTAGCATAGAAGACGCTTCTGGCTCTCCAGAGACTGGCGTGCTTTCGGAGTCTGTGTGCAGACGGTTACTGCTATTTTCATTACACTGCTCTTTTGAGGCACTGCTATCTCCCACCACATCTACTTCCTCCTCAGAATCTCTCAAGGATGACTGAATTTCAGAAACAGGGACTGAAGCTGGCTCAGCAGTCAGCTGATTCCGATGTTGCACAGGCAGGCAGGCAGTTACTAGTTTGTGGTCCTCCAACTTGACCTGCACATCTGACTTTGTGCAAGGCACGATATGGTCTATACAGCTGTCCTCCTTCCTACTACCAAAGAACATTGAAGTCTGGGTTTCTACTGATGTTTCCTGCAACACATAGGAACCAGTGCTATTCTGTTTAATGTTCCCATCAGGCTGACAGTCATCACAGTTTGTAACAGCTGAGTCACTGTCATCAACACCATTGACAGTCAAATAGCCTGTGAGTTCTTCTACTGCAGCCGTAAGCGGCCCTTCCTCACTGACAGTCACCTTTTTAACTTCCCTTTTCTCACAATCATCCAATATAAGACATCGACAAGCTCGCTTAGTCCCTTGAAACTCTGCATCATGGTCCACTACTGTCCTCCTGTGTTCTACCGGCTCCTTGTCTGGTTTTACAGGTGAGTCTTCTTCTGAACTGTTTGTGGCTTCACCTCTAAGACAGCGTTTAATGTTCTTTAGCACTGGCGGTGCTGTCTCTGTCTGCCTTCTCTCACAACTCTCTAGGGCCTGCCTTTCTAGGTCATCCTTTTCTGAAGAAGAAAGTCTTCTTTTCCTAGGGCTTACCCATGATTCTCGAGCACTCTGCTGTTTTACATCTGAAGTTCTTCCGTTATTATTTCCTTTCTGAACTGGCACGGGCTCTGGTCTCTTCTTTGGTGATCTTGATCGTACTTGAGCATGAGAAGAGATTTCTTCTGGGTGAGCAATGCTACGATTCCTTAAAGTTCTACCACAAAAAGATTCATCCAAGCCGTTTAACCCCACTGTTGATCTTGTAACACGAGTAGATCGGGAAGCAGCCATACTATGGCAAGTCCCTACCATACGGTCATCATGATCCACTCATTGGGAAACCTTCAAAAATGTAAACAAAATAATGAGAAAAAGGGAATAGTTAATATATCTAAAACAAAAACATAAAGCTAAAACTTTTTTATCCAAGTATAGCCATTATCAATAAGTAAAGGGACAAAGGTTATTTCATTAATATTTCCAATAATGACATAATAACAGCTAACAATTAAATACCATTTAATATGTTCAAGGACTCCATGTTTACGTTTAACATACATCTACTCCCTGAAGCCTCACAACTCGGACAGGTCTACTGTCCCTACTTTACAACTGAGAAGACTAAGGTAGAGACAGCCTCAACAACCTATTGACGATCACAGAACCAGCTCAGACAGAACTCTAAATGCCATGTTCACTGTCTCTGTGCATCTCGATTTTGCACAAAGTACCCAGACATGATCAATCTAAACATTTTGGTTATAAAGTAATACTTTTAAAGTTATAGAGCAGCTATTTTACAGAACCCATTCCTATCAGTCTGAGGTTTTTACTAACATAGTTGTAGATTCATTAAGTCCCTTGATAATAAGCTATTTGGAATTTTGCTATGGAATTTTTAAAATTACAGCACGAACAGAAGTCACAACACTAGCTTACACTGGCTATCAACACAGCAAAGCAAACTTCAGTCTCTAGAGAAAAGCATGTCACTCTTTAAAGTATTCTGAGGAGGACAGAAAGCAGTAGCTGTCTTCTAAAGAGAACAGTGACTTCAGAAATAAGGATTATTAAAAAAAAAAGAAATAAGGATTATTTCACATAAATCACATATGTGTGTATTTTTACAGACACACGCACACACCCTTTCTTTAAGGTTCTGAGTGTGATACAGGATACCTTAAACCCACTGTTTGGGAGATAAGTGAGTTTTCTGGTAGAGATCCTGAACTTTCTAAGAAAGAAAGAGGAAGCCTATTGGAAATGTCCTCATTGATCGGCCTGGGTAAACTCTAAGAGCTAATGGTATTTTCCAGGACTTCCCTGCTATCCAGAAGAACAAAGGCACTATTAATATTTCAAGTCTCTATCAACCCCCACCTGCCCTTCCATTTGTTTTTCCTAGATATTTTGTCACTTCACTGCTTGATTTCAAGTGAGGTACAGAATGATTAAAGAAAAAGAACCAAAAATGCAACTTCACATTACCCTCCTCCTGCCTTTTGTCACCCTCTGACAACCTCCCTCACATACAACCCTTTTAATGGCATTATCACTTCCCCATGCAAATCAGGTACTTTCCCTTCTGGACCTCAACTGCCATCATCTAATACTGGAGAATAACTACAGAAGACCACAGCAACATGGTACACAAGAAACACTAAGGAAAAGTGCTTCCTGGTGTCTGGCTGCTGACAGCTTACAATGAGTTAAAGAGGAAATGTACTCTGTGACATGTTAAATCAGTTGAAGTTAGCTTCATTTCAAAGCAGGGCATACTTTAAAATCTGTGATTACAGTACAGTTACTTGTTCTAGAGAATTCCATAGAAATCAAGTTAAGAGTAAGGGAAAGGGTAGGATTGGGAGGGAATGAGGGAACGGGCTACAGCTGGGATACAAAGTTAAAAAACTGTAACTAATATTAAAAAGAAATAAAAATTTAATTTAAAAAGTAAAGAGTAAGGAACACACCATCAGAAAAGAGACAGTGTTTCACATGAGCTTCATTATGTCAATAACCAGAGCAGCAATCTGATTGTAATTTATCTTTCTAACATCCTGTCATCAAGAGGGCAGTCCTGCTGTACTTACAGGTAATTTCCACTTTCAATTACAACAAATGTAAACTAAATTTCAAGTGTGTTAAAAGAACCCAAACTGAAAGAATTTTAAAGCAATATATTTATTTGATGTACCAAAATCTGGAAACCTCAGTTGACAGTTACATACTAAATATCTATGTAAATGTGAATATAAAACTAAAATGAGAGCCAGTACAGTAGTGCACACCTGTAATTCCGGCACTCAGGGAGGCAGAGGCAGACGGGGCTCTGTGAGTTTGAGAATAGCCTGGTCTACAAAGCGAGTCCAGGCCAACCAAGGCTACACAGAAAAAATGATGCTGTCTCGAAAAACAAACAACAACAAAAAAGACACCCCAACAAAACTAAAATTAAGTTAATTTTATAAACAAACTATTAAATAAAATGCAAATTTAATGATCTTCATATTTTGTGGCTGAAAAATGATACTGGAAATTCATTAAGCTTTATTTTATAATGACTGATGCCGATTAAAGGCATATAAATCTCTTACGTGATTTCAATTAACTGGCTTTCCTTAATCATTCTTTTCCTTCCATATCAATCTATGTGGAAATCTGGAAAACCTCTTTCTCTGTAATTCACCTTCCACAAGAGACTACTGAATCAAACATATGTCATTAATACTGGGAATTACTTTAAAAGTATGTGTATGCACACACAAACATATAAATGAAGGTCACTGTCAATTACCACCTATGAAAACCTGTGCTTTTCTTGATTCCAGTTCTAAAACTAAAACACTGAATAGTATGAAAGATTAAGTCTCTTTCCCTCTCTTATCTAAAAAGGTTTTAGTTCTATCCAACAATTATAATAAAGCCCAACTACTGGGCTGTAATTATCAAGAAGCTGTCTTGGGGGAAAACCAATAAACTGTAAAAATGCTAGAATAAATACACATTTTTCGAGACCCAATAAGAGCTCATTTACAGTAAGTGTGCCTAGTACTTCAAACTGTTGAACTCAAGTACAGTTTCAGACACCACATTAGAAGCTTGCTAGAAACCCAGACTTAAAATAGAAAGGGAAAGGGGAAAGCAAAAAGACCTACAGAGTGTCAGCCCTATCCAGGCAATCCATCCATGCTGAAGTATGAGAAAGAGACCACTGCATTCAGGCAGTGTTCTAGTAACACAATTCAATTACCACGTTGGAAGGCAAATTAGATACAAAATTCTCTTTTAATAGTTTATGAGCTCGTAATGATTAAAACAAAACATAAAAATTAAGGCCATGCTCACTTTAGCTAAAGAAGCATCACATGACAGATTGAAAAATTATCTTGGATTGAATTAACATTATAGACACTTAAAACAAAAACCTAATCAAATTATGAAGGCTGGAATAAAACAAATTTCCTATCTGCTATTTTTTTCTTCCTCTTTGCTTATTTCTGGATAAGCATACATGAAGTATACATACTTTTTGCAATTACCTGATAAACTGAATATAAAAACCTTCCATCAATAGGAACTTTTACCTAAGTATGTCTACATTATTTCAACCAAATTTCAATACTGTTTTGCCATGCTTATTTATCTAGCAAGGCAGTAGAGACTAAAGCTGTAACTTTCCTTATTTTAGCTAAATACAAAGTTACTATAAAATCCAGTGAAGAGGTTTGGGCATATAATTATGTTCATGCCAAATATGAAGCTGTTAAGGGAAGAGAAATGAACTCATTTGCCAACTAGCTAAGGAACATCCTTACTAATAAACTAAAATACGAGACACCTGGTGAAAGCCTTAGCCACACACACTTGGTAATGGAAATTTTATTACTACAGTTTTAGAATTAAGAAAAACCGTGAGTTAACATTTTCATATGGACAAAACACAACTAGTAATAAGACCAAAATCTATCCTGCTACCCACCAACTATGAGCAGCAGCATTTTGCAGAAAACAGGGAGGGCATGATTCACCACTAGAAGTAAGCACACTCTGTATTCCCAGCTCCTGAGTCCTCCTAATCACTTGAAGAGACTGAAAAGTGACAGCCAACCAATTGTTTTTTTTTTTTTTTTTTTTTTGGCCTGTCCACACTGAGCCAACTCTCCCCTAATCTATATACCATGCTATCTGACTTCCACTCAGTCACTTTCCCTAAACTTGAATCTACTTTTATAAAAACTGTAAAATTCTAAAACATTATTAGCTCTTTCAGATCATAAGCTTCTAGTCCCCATGACTACACCCACATAACTGCATCAGGACCAAAAGAAACAGGACTAAACCAGAAAGGCCCACCCATGAGAAACAGCACATGCTGCAGCTACATGTTTAACTCAAACTATTTCCAATACAGTGCCTGTAATCTCTGGCTCCTGCTCTACTCAGCAAGTGTCCCAGTTTAGAAATAGAGGAGCTGGCAATTACCACCACCACCATTATTACTTTGTTTTTGTTTTTTTTGTGTTTTTTTTTTTTTGAGAGAATGTCATCGTCATTATTTTGGTTTTTTGAGGCAAGGTCTCACTATGTAGCTCTTGGTGTCCTGGAACTCACTAGACCAAGCTGGCCTTGAGCTCACAGAGACCTGCCTGCCTCTGCCTCCCCCCAGGCATGTGCCATTATACAAAGCCAACACCAATATTATGATCACCAATATTATGATCACCATATTATTTAGTTTTATTAAGTGAACAACTTCTAAAAAACTGGCCACAATACCTGTATATTTTCAGGTACAAAAGCCAAAGTCAAAGGAAAAAAATAGGGAAGAGTAACTGAGAAGTGTCATCAATATGATTCCCCTGCCTGTCTACAGCATAAGCTGTGCTCAGGCATTGCTTATCACACAAGTATGTGCTGTAGTTTTTCAAATAGGATCTTGCCATTCAATCCTGGATGGCCTGGAACATACTATGTTGCCCAGAGTGACCTTAAACTCTTTTAACAATCCTCGTGAATCCCTCGAAGTGGGATTACAGGTGTGCACTGTTACACCTAGCCATACAACTCTTTTAAAAGACAAATTATTTCAGCTGTACAATTCTCACTCTATTGTAGCAGAACAACACCTGTGACCCTATCTCCTCAAATTTATTGAAGGTTAGTAGTAACCGCTTTTAAGTCTGGAAATTCTATTATGCAGTTATATGTAAAGGGATCTCTTCTTTGTCATCAAGAGTGACAACAGATGATCGACAAGACTGATTTATAGGCAGTCAGAGAATAGATTTGAATGGATATACACTCGAAACAACTGAGAAGTCAAAGAATTTCACATGGCTCCTTAAATGTGCACATTTCAAAGTCAGGCTCAATCGTCTAGTCTCAAGATTCCAACATCAATTTCATTTATCCCTGTGTTAAATTTATATATATATATATATATACACACACACACACACACACACACACACATACATATATATATATATATATCTTCAGTCCATTCTCTACAGCTCAAGACTGCCATTAAACAGCAAGGGAGAGTAAGAATAATGGAAAATAACATATCTCCTCCCACCAAAATAAAAATCAAGCCATAGTTGTCTTACCTACTGCAAAACTAAGTAACTTACCTGTACAACCAAAGATCTATCATTGTGGAAATGTTACTTCTTTTCCTTATATCCTGAAGGAGATGGAGCTAGGATCTACAATAGAGCTTAGGCATCAGGCTCTCAGCTTCAGCCTCGGAGAATACTAGAACCTCTTACACGCCTCTCTTTAAAATAAAATGATAAAAAGGTATTAAATAAGGAAATTAACATATGCTAATGATTTACTCTGGCTATAAAAGTACACAGAGGCAGCATGTCTTCACAGTAATGATTTGGTGCTTCCTGGTAAGCACCCCAGGGGCACCAAGCAACTGGGACAAACTTGAAAAAAAAAAATCAACTGAAAACAATGTAACAAATCCTTACAAACAACTCAATTATTATTTTGATTAAAATATGACTCAGCCCTTTCCTACAATTTGCTCCTAGGCTTTTTTCCCTGCTCTTAAAGACCACCTAGAGGATTTCTCAGATTTAGGACTGAGTACGAGAACCAGGGCCTAAAGCAGTGGTTCTCAAGTTTCCTATCACTGTGACCCATTTAATACAGGTCCTCATGCTGTGCTGACCCCAACCATAAAGTTATTTTCGCTGCTACTTTACAACTGCAATTTTGCTGCTGTTATGATTCGTGATGTAAATATCTGATATGCAGTATTTGATATGCAACCCTTGTGGAAGGGGTCATTCAAACCCCAAAGGAGTTGAAGCCCACAGGTTGAGAACCACTGGAAAACAACAGAAACCAACTACACAGTTAACTATTCACAACGTAGTCCTGTGTCTCACAGCACACCTAATACTAACAGGCTCCAAAACTCAGCTACTAACTGAAGCTTCCTTACTTTTCACCACATGTATTTTTCTTGTTGTTGTTTTGTTTTTGATACAAAGTCTCCCTAGACAGCCCCAGCTGTACTGGAGCTGTGTATGTCAAAATGGCCTCAAACTCAAGAGATCCTTCTGCCTCTGTCTCCCAAGTGCTGGGATTATAGGTGTGCCACCATCCCAGGCCATACAGATTATGAACAAGATAAAAAGCAAGCGTTCTCGGAGTTGAATACTCAGTCTGGTATTTGGTTTTTTGTTTGTTTGTTTGTTTGTTTTTTAATTTTTTGTGGAGAAAGGGTTTCTCTGTGTAGCCCTAGCTGGGATTACAGGCATGACCACCTCACCCAGCTATCAGTCTGCTATTTTAATAACACTGCAACTTTTGCATAATATATTTAATTGCATTTTTTGTTTGTTTGTTTTGTTTCCTGAAACAGGTTTCTCTGTGTAGCCTTGGCTGTCCTGGACTTTCTTTGTAGACTAGGCTAGCCTGGAACTTGGAGATCTGCCTGCCCAATTGTAGTTTTACTAATATGCTATGATATCTTTTTCAGAGAATATATGCTCTAGCTAATTAGGCTATTAGGAGTGCCCATCTGCAAATAACAGTACTAGAAAAACAAGAAACAGATGTCATTAGATGACTAACCTTGCCACCGTAAATATTTAACTAGGTATTTTTAAATGAATACTATTTTAAATAAAGTATTATAATTAAGCACTGATTCAACTATCAAATTGTAAACCAGGGTTCTATCTAGTAAAGATAAAGAGATTACTGTTAAAAGTGATATATTGGTCTATTTAATTATAGCTATAATTATTTTAATGCACATAATAAGCTTTTCATTACTGTAAATTTGATATTTTGTTGGTTTATGTTTATCTTTCTTTTTCTCAGAAGAGAGGATGCAATGACAGAGTCTCATTTGTAGCCCAGGCTAACCTAACCCACAGAAATCCACCTGTCTCTGACTCCTGAGTGTTGGAATTAATGGTGTGAGACAGCATATCTGGCCTGTTGCTTTGTTTTTGTTTTGACAGGGTTTCCTAGATAGATGTCAAACCTCCCTATGCTGCTGAACATCAAGTCCCAAGGGCTGGAGTTATAGGTACTCACAAATAATCATGGCTGTTGTTCTTTTTGTTGGTTTTCAGACAGGGTCTCTCTACATCGCCCTGACTGTCCTGAAACTCACTATGTAGACAAGGCTGGCCTCTAACTCACAAACATCCACCTCATTCTGCCTTCCCAATGCTGAAATTAAAGGCATGAATCACTGTACACAGTGATTCTGTAATGTTTAAAGTACATTTTATTTTTTTACTTTTTCTTCTCAAACTTGCATTCTCATTTTAATGTCCTGTAGAATTGTACTCTAATACCATCTTTATCCTTGACACATTATTAATTTTTCTAGTTACATTAATAAAAAGAATTAAGCAGGAAGAAACTGCTTATCAGAGAAGAACAGGGCTATGATTTAACAGCTATAAATGCAACCTCTCCTTGTAAGTTCTTACAAGTATACGCAAAGTAAAACTCCTGTCTTAATACAATCATTTCCCTCTCTTTGTTTAAAGCTCTAAATTAACATGAAGACGAGAGCACAGGGAAAACATGATCCTACAAAAAGTATACTGACTTGAAAACTCAGCTGCATACTCAAGACTCCAACCTCTGTGCCCTCCCCAGAAGTCCAACACAAAGCAAAGTGGGACTTGTTCTAGAATGTGGCTCCATGCAGCTATGGAAGGACCACAACACTCTAAAATTCCAGCCACACTGCTAGATATTTCTCAAGAGTGCTCATTACAGAGCATCACCCACTGTATTGGCCAAATAAGAGTATCTGTTACTGTTACTTTCACAAAAGAATGGTTCTTTAAGCTGACTTTTATTAGTATTTAGATAGGCTCCACTGGACATGCTTCTTAAGAGCCTGATACACTGAAAACAAAACAGGCAATTACTTCTATCTCACTTGGCCTTAGAGAATATCACATTCTTTTCTTACCTTTTGAAGTGTTTCGCCTAGTACTTAATTCCCAAGCATCTGCATTTATATGTCATCACTGCTAATGTCCATGTTACACTGAGACTTCAGGAATTATTTATACGGCTGTACTAGTACAACTTGTTATCTGTGAAGGGAAATCACAATATGGTCACTCTGACTATGTTACTCTACAGATTTGTGGATAACCAAGAAAAATTCAAGATACATACAGCACAATTCATTGCACTAAGCTTCATAACCTATTTTATGAAATAAGGTGTAGCCGTGACGCACCTTACCTTTAACAGAGTGGGATAACTTGTTAACATACTTACATGTATGACAGACACTACACAGAAGCAAAGCAGCGGGCAACAGAAGAGACATCTCTTTCACTGTGTCTATGATCAACCAGACACTAACAAGAAAGCAACCTTTGGTGTTTTATGGCACTATTAAGAAATCAACATGATACTTAACACCTGACAGGGGCCAGCAAGATGGCTGAGCAGATGTTGGTTGAAAATCACTTGAAGAAAACACCTAATACTGTCACACACAGAAATGGGGATGGTTTATCGTGAGCTTTTGAGAGGAGCTGTACAGGGCCTGTCCAATTGGGGGTACTGTTCAGAACAAGCGCCCAGCATCACACACACAAAGCATGCACACATGTGTGCAAAAATGTGTTTTTACAGTAATTTTACCATAGACAATATCCTTTACAGGACTGATCTATCAGAATGAACAAAAAATTAATGACTCAAAATATGGGAAGTTGGGTATGTAGTAGCTCCTGTCTATAACCCCAACACTCAGGAGTCTTATTAGACAAAAGTATACATAGATTTCAGCAACCTGGACACAGTGATATCCTTTCTCATAATAACAAAAGGGCTAAGGATAGAGCTTAACAAGACATGGACTTACCATGTGTGGAGCCCTGAGGCCAAATGCCAGCACCGAAAATCCAAAAGAACAGCCCTGGAACACAGCTGTGCAAACATTCCTTAAAAATAAAGTCCTTAATTCCGGGCAGTGGTGTGGCGCATGCCTTTAATCCCAGCACTTGAGAAACGAGGCAGGCAGATCTCTGAGTTTGAGACTAGCCTACAGAATGAGTTCCAGGACAACCAGGGCTACACAGAGAAACCCTGTCTCACAAAACCAACCAACCAACCAACCAACCAAATAAGTAAATTCCGTAAAACCTTAAAAATACAGCTGTTCCTGATCACATAACTAAGAGATACAATCCTGTGATCAGATGGATGACAAAAAGAATACAAACTAAGTCACCACGATCTGTAGTGAGCAACTGCAGTCTCTGTTCTCAGAAGGCAGAGGAGGAGGACTGCAAGAATCCTGGCAAATACTGTGTTTCAAAAGCAAAGTCCCAAGTCATTTCATGTGTGCATGCATGTGACTTAGACTTCCTATCACAGAAAGATGCCACAATGCCACTCCAAATTCCTACACGCTACTGAAGTGAAAGGCTATATATAAAGAAAAATGTAGGTAATCATATACCTGTTTTGTAGATAAAAGAACTGTTGTGGCTATAAACAAGTTTCTGTTTTGGTCCCAGGTGTGGGATGTGGGACTGAGTAAGATGGTCCACAGCAGGAGACATTTGCCTCATGCATGCTCTGAGAGGAGCTCTTTACCAGCTGTACATAGTTTAACTCTGAAGACTTTTGAAAGCGAGTGAAGCCAGAATCCAGACACTTTGGAGATGAGAAAAAGAACAATGCTGCTCCTGCTTCTCCCTTGCCACTCCTGGTTGCTGTTCCATGCATTGAGACAAGAAGACAGAGATCTCCTGAAATGAGGACTACACTGACTCCAAGGAACTCAATGACCCTGACCAGCAGGGAGGTGGTCAGCAGGTGCAGCTGAGAGAACTGCACCCCCTCTCCCACTAACCCTTTCTCTCTCCTACCTGGTGTTGGTTGTTGGAAGGAACTGAGGTGGAGTAGGGAGAAAAATATAAATGAAATGTAAGTAAAAGCTTTTAAAAACCTAGACCTACAAAGAACTGTCAAAGCAGGTGTAGTGGTACACAACTGAAATCTCAGCACTTAAAAGGCAAAGACAAGAGGAATCAAAATTCAAGGCCATCCTCAGCTATAAATAAAACAAGTATAGATAGTCTGAGTTACACGAGACCGTCTTTAAAACAAAAGAAAAAATTAACATAAATTTAAGTAAACCAAATTATTTCCAAAAAGCAAAGTACTTCAACTAATCCAAATGCTTATACCACCTTCAAGAGGTTCATTTATTCACATATCTTAAAGTTAGTCATTCCACAAAAAAATGCTGTATTATTTTCTGAAGCAGGTAAGACTTTAAATTACAACATTTTTCAGCTGAATTTTTTTTTAATTTTAGTAATTACAATTTCTAGGCACTTAAAAATAGCTATTTGTCTTTTAAACACACAAAATAGAAACAAGCTATGTAAGCCCTGTTGTTAAAGCCTCATTTTATTTGATGCTTGCTACAAAGCTTCGGTTGTTTTCCTATACTAATAAAATTCATGGGCTATTCAAGCATCCAACAGCAAATCTAAAAACCAATCTTCACTGGAAAGAATTACTCCTCTCTACTACTTGCCACTGAACACTAGACTACTGTGCTCACTGGATTATAGGACCTTAGATTCATGACACATGAGAGCCCTTCAAAAAGACTACAGCAACTTGGCCTACAATATATCAGCTCTGGTCATAAAGCAAAGAATAAGCACAAATACTATTAAAAACAAACTGCAAAATCCAGCCTAAACTATCTTGAGTTGCAAGATACTACAATATTTTGTATTGTTAAAGGCTTGGAAGGAAAAATAAATAAAATAAAAGGCTATACTATAAACTCCTCTTTAATACCTGATTCTCTATTCTAAGTAAAAATATTAAGTGTGTCTTGTATAGTATAGTCAGACTACACAAATATAAAACCATTAAAATAATGGTTAAAGATATAAAAAGTACCTTTCCTAGGCACTCTTTCATGATTATTTCCATTCAACAAGTATTAACTGGGACCAACTAAGTTTTCAGCAGTGTTTTGGGCTTTGTGAATGCAAAGGCAAAAATCTCATGCTTTCACAAAGTTTATACTTCACATAATCAAACAAATACATACTACCAGATAATTCAGGTAGATACTGTTTATGTTATAACATAAACTGAATAAAAATGTGTTGCTTTGGTTTAAGACAGGGTCTCTCTACAAATAACAACAATAATAAAGCAAGGAATGACTGAAAACTAATAATGTGCCACGGAGGTTCCCTCTAACAACTCAACACTTAAGCTGCAATATTGCAGAGTTTGCTGGGCCACAATAAGGACTTCAAATTTTCTGAGCAAGATAAAGCCACTGAAAGATTTCTTTCTGATCAAGAGAATAGTAATAGGATTCAACATTTTAAGGTGATCAGTTAGACTGTGATCTGGAAAACGAACTGTACACACCAAAATAGAAAAAAATGGAAGGTGTCTTAGACAGTCTTTACTGCCACAGGAGAAACAATGGCCAAGTTTTCAGTTGGAGAGGCGAGAAATTACACACTTCAATTTAGATTCCAAAGGCAATCCTAATAGAACTCACTAATGCACTGTGTGTGCTGAGAGCAAATCCAAGACGGTCAACTCTTCTGCCTGGCAAGTGCTCTCTCTTCCAGAGCCTGCTCTCACAATACCACAGTTTCATTTGCTGAAGGTTACCCTAATGACAGCTTTACATTTCCCTCCTTCAAGTCTATATAGCAAACTGCCTACCAGTGTCAACATAAACTCCAAATTGTAGTAAAACTCCAAGCACCACTTTCCTTTTCAGTTCCACCACCTACCTGGTCCCACCTTTATAAGTATGTGAATGTTTGGCATTACAAAGCACACTCTCTTCCAAACTAAAAACCTAGAAAGTAACCATTTGGAAGAGTATCCAACTATGTGTACACATGTAGGTACTAACATACCATAGCATCTTCTTCAACATGGATTCCAGGGATCCATCTAAAATGTCAAGCTTGGAAGCAGATGCCTTTTCTGGGTAACCCATCTCACCAGCCCAAAACAAGCTTTTTAATACCATTTTTTTTCTGTCACCTAACCTACTCAACACCATACATACACCCAATTACTCAAGCTAACTTAATTCTTGCTGGGTAATGCACACTTTATTAAGATACCTGTCACAAAGTGAACTACGGTTCTGGGGTGAGACAGGGTCTCCCCAGGTAACCCAGGGTAGCCTCTAGTTCTTCCCTTGCCTCCTGAATGGTAGGGTCATGGACATGTTTCACCATGCCCAGCTTCTGGAGGAAAAAATCAGATTTATTTTCTTTCAAAGAGCAGTATAGTATGAGAGCCTCAAAATAAGTGAAGAATGGTGTGTAAAGGTGCTTGCCTTAAGCCTGAGAACCTGTGTTTGATCCCTGGGACACAAATGGTGAAAAGAGAGACTATTTACTATGGCACACATGGTATATGGCCACATGCACATGTATGTGCATATGTACACACAACACTAGTAGTTTCTAAGAGGGAACACTTGTAACCTGCACTTTCTAAGAATACATATCCTCTCAAGCACTGTGCACACTGCCCTCTAAGATGGGCTCTCTCTGAGCATGTTTATGTTAGTGGTGAGAAAGGTGAAATAGTTTGTATAAGGTCTCGGCGCCAGTCGGTATTAAAGCAGAAACGTGAGCCCAGGAAGGCTTGTCACTGTAACAGACGGGTGAATAAACACCTTAGAGAATGAGCTTAGTGAGATTTAACTGAACTGCTTAAAAGCCTTTTAAATTTCCAGCCAGTACTATGTTGAGCAAGCTGGGCTAAGATAACAACTTCTGATTAGTCATTTTAACCATGAAAACCTCTACCTTCAAAAATTTTGGAATATGGTTAGAAAGACAATAAAAATGAAGCAAAGATGTAATAATGAAATAGAAGATGGTACTGTTTCTAAAATAGATCTCAAATACAGTAACCAGATTAAATTTAAAGATTTTAAAGAAGCAAAAGTGATTCATGTTAATTGACTTCAATAAGAAACAAAAGAACGGGCTAGACAAATGTCTCTGTGGTTAAAAGCACTGGCTACTCTTTCATAGGACCCAGGTTCAATTCCCACCACCCATGTGGCAGCTCAAAAGTATCTGTAACTTCAGTTGCAGGGGATCTGATACCCTCATTCAGACATACATGCAGGCAAAATACCGAAGTACATAAAATAAAAATAAATTGAAAAACAAAACAAAAAGAAACAGTAACATACAAACAAAAATCCCTTCTGTGGGCTGGGGTACACTGCAGTGCTAAGGAAATTACCCAGCATGCACAGAACACTAAATTCAATCCTTAGCAACTGTTCAGTTTCTATAGTCTATAGCATTCAATTACAAGTAGAAATTAAAATAAATGACATCTGTACATTTGTTGAGTCATTCCATTTTCCTCTCAATCCCATCACGAAGACTGCATTTTAAAAGTACATTTAAAAAATAAATACATAGCAAATGAAAGATTTAACTTGAATTTGAATGTTGTCCATTTCACAGTGATGGAGGGGCCATCATGTATAACTGTCTTAAGTGAGGTAGTTAACTACTTTTCCATATTAAAAAAAAACAAAAACAAAAGGGAGGGTGGCACAGTGGCACACACCTTTAATTCCAGCACTCAGGAGTTCATAGCCAGCCTGGTCTACAAAGTGAGTTCCACGACAGCCAGAGCTACACAAAGCCAAACAAAAAAAATAAACAAAACAAAGAAATCAAAACTTTAATACAGAAATATTTCATTTTTTGGTACTTTTTATCTGTGGCTCTGAGGGCTTTTTAGCCTAACCTATAAAATTGTCATAGTTTCACACTTGAGTTTGACATTAAGTACCTTATAAACACAGAATAAAATCAGAGTAGTTTTCCTTTCCAGGGGTGAAATCTAGCCTACTACGCAAAACAGACAACTACGAAGCCTCAAAAAGAATAGAGAATACAAAGCCACAAAACACAGTTTTAAAGACTCTGTAACCATGTATCAATGTGCTTAGTATATATATATATTTGAGAAGCATCTTATCATTTTGAAAAACAACCACAGGTTTGAGTTCTAATCCAAACTAAACCAGTAACTCATGTGACTTTGAAAACTTAATGTCTGGCCAGGCACTGTAGCCCACGCCTTTAATCCCAGCACTCTGAGAGGCAGAAGCAGGAGGATCTCTATGAGTTCTGGCCAGCCTCGTCCAGGAGAGCCAAGGCTACACAGAAAAACCCTGTCTCAGGAAAAAAAGAAAAAAGAAAATTAATGTCTGGCTCATTTCCCCATTTTTTTTGTTTTTTAATTATTTTACATATATATATATATATTTTTTTTTAATGTGTATGGGTGTTTTGCCTACATGTGTATCTCTGTATTGTACTGTATGCCCGATGCCCCTGGAGGCTAGAAAAGAGGGTCAGATCCTTTGATCTGAAGTGATGGATGGTTGTGAGCTGGTACGTGGATGCTAGGAATCAAACCAAAGTCTTCTGGAAAGCAGCTGGTGCGTGTAACTTCCGAGCCATCTCTCCAGCCTCTACTTACTCAGTTTAAGGCTGTGCAACCCTTTAATACAATTCCTCACTTTGTGGTTACTGACAACCATAAAATTATTTTTGTTGCTATTTCTAAACTGTCATGAACTGTAATGTAAATATCTGTTTTCTTATGATCTTAGGTGGGCCCTGTGAAACGGTGCTTTGACCTCCCAAAGGGGTCATGACCCACACAGGTTGAGAACCACTGTTAAAGGGCAGGAAAACACTATTATATATAATTGTTTTGAGTATTAAATGAAACAAATTATATCAAATAGCCAAAGTACTATAGCACAAATCACTAAGTGTAGGTACTAGCATAAATTATGTGTAACGGCTAGATACTACATCCTTCTTTTTAAAGCTGTAAAAAACACATGGTTGGCTGGGCATTGTGGCATATGCATTTAATCCCAGCACTTGGGAGGCAGAAGCCACCATATCTCAGTTCAAGGCCAGCTAGAGCTTCATAGTGAGATCTTGTCTCAAAAACAAAACAAAACACAAAACTTATGATTTTTTAAGACTATCCTTTTTCCCACTGTAGACTAGAAAACTGAAGTTGAATGCAACATTATTTAACTACTTAAGGAGCAGCAAACAGTCTTGAGGGAGGATGGCATAGTTATCTTTTTACATATTATATAATGTTTTAATGAAAATATTATGTTCTTATATTTTTATTTTTATTATTTTTGAAAATGTCATATGAACTCCTCCCCTTAACTCCCTAGGTCTGCTCTACCACCCTACCCACCCCCTTCAATTTCTGTCCTGAGCAGGAGCCACACCCTTAAAGAAAACTGGTTCAGCCCAGAAGTCATGAACCCTTAGGAGGAGTGGAATCTCATGAACTCCTTTGTACTCCAAGAGGAAATGTTAACTGGCTTGATCTAGTGCAGGGCATAAGCAGGCAACAAAGCCTGCTGTGAGCTCCTAAGTGCATGATAACAAGGAACTTTTTCCAGAGGAAAGTACATTTGTCTGAGCAGTCTATGCTAACTTCCTCCCAGTGGCTGTCTACATTGTTTTAAAATATAGATTTGCTGGAGAATATCAGTAACAATTTCATGTTATTGCTATGAAAATTCTGTGCAAAGCCCAGTGCTAAGCATAAAGTGAGGACTGAATAATTTAAACAAAGAAATCAAGGTGGTAATTTTATATTCTCTGAAAGTCACTCAGTGTTCCCTGAAAATGCACTCTCTAGCCTTATGAATACAGAAGAGCCAGAGCATGACCTACAGGTGTGTGGCATGAGCACAAGTCAGAATGTAAGGCCTGGACATTCTGTCAGCTATTGTTTATCTTCTGGAAAAGAAAACTGAAGAGGCAAGCCAATAACGCAAATAAAACTTGACCAACCGAGACACACAGCCAAACTCTGGGCAGAGCGCAGGAAATTTTATGAAAGAAGGGGGAGACAGAAAGACCTGGAAGGGTCTAGCGCTCCACAAGGAGAACAGAACCAAAAAATCTGGGCCCAGGGGTCTTTTCTGAGACTGATACTCCAACCATGCGTGGAGATAACCTAGAACTCCTGCACAGATGTAGACCGTAGCAGCTCAGTCTCCAAATGGGAACAGGGGCTGTCTCTGACATGAACTCAGTGGCTGGCTCTTTGATCACCTCCCCGAGGGGTGGGAAGCCTTACCAGGCAACAGAGGAAGACTATGAAAGACAGTGCTGATGAGACCTGATAGGCTAGGGTCAGGGAAGGGGAGGAGGTCCTCCCCTATCAGTAGACTGGGGAAGGGGCATGGGAAGAAATCAAGGAGGGAGGAAGGGCGAGAATGAGAAAGGACGAGGGTAGGGGGCTACATCTTGGATACAAAGTGAATTGTAATAAATAAAAAATTGTATTAAAAAATTGACCAACAAAAGAATTGATGGAAATTAAAATTATTTTTCTCTGGAATTACCTTTCCTTCGACCAGAGGTAGTCAGATCCATGCCCTCTGGCATCTGAGGACACAGGTGTAAGTATGTGTACTCCTAGCAGGTCCACACCTGACACAATCTTGATGCTGTGCTTCTCAGCCATGTCTTTAGTATGTCCTCCATCCTATGGACTTCTGCTTTAGCCTCTGGACTCAAATGGTAGTTAAAGAGACAGTATTAACGCCAAACTTTAGTCAAAACACTCACAAACCTATCCACACATATCTACTTTACGTGGCTCTCTACCCATCAACTCACAGCTGAATGAAGCTCATCTAGCAGGTGATTTTCATAACCTCCTTGTATTAAAAACACTGCACAGAACTTCAGCTTCTGTAGGTCACTTTAACTCGCTCAGAAACTGACAGTCAATAAAGGCACAGAGACATCACGTAAACACTCAAACCCATCTACGAGGGGCCTTAAAGGCTGTAGTTGCCCTGTGACAAGGAAACAATAGGGAACTGCCCAGTGGCATTTAAAAATCAAAATAACTCAGAATTACTGTAAGTTACGAAATGTAACTAAGGAGGATCTAGGTTCAATTCCAAAACCCACACAGAAGGCAGGCATGCTGGTACATGCCTGTAATGCCAGCACTAAAGAGGAGAGACAGGAGGACGACCCTTGATGCTTTCTGGCCGGCCAATCTAGGGTGAGCTTAGGTTTACAGATAAGAACCAACCTCAAAAAATTTGGTGAATGAGGTAGAAAGTGATTATGGAAAGCAATTGATACTATCCTCTGGCTTCTATGAACATACATACACATACTCACATACACATACACACACACACACACACACACGAAATAGGCACTCAAGTTTCCACTATGCATTTTTCAGAGGTTTCTTAATTTTTTTTCATGCTTTCTGCTACTGCAAATAATTAAAATATTTTAAAATACGAAGCCAAAAATAACAAATATGAAAAGTTAGAAAACCTGAATATACACTGCAGTGACCAGAACTGAGAAATACTAGGATAGATAACCTGAACTACCAATAAAACTCACAAACACAAACTAAAGGAAGTCAACAAAATTAATGACTGAAACTCTCCAAAGATGTCAGGGCTAGCTAAGAAAGCTAAGGGTAAGCCAGATGGTGGTGGTACACATCATCTTTAATCTCAGCACTCAGAAGGCAGAGGCAGGCATTGGATCTCTTAACCACTAAACCCTCTCTCCAGTCCCTTGATTTTATTTTAATGAGATTTAAAAGAACGTTACTGCTTAGGGAAAATATCTAGCCGAATTTTCTGAACTTTTTGAAACCCATTTTTCTGAGAACTCCTATTAAAACTCCAAGCTGACAGGGTCACTACTTATTAATTGAAATATTTCAAGTCACGGAAAAACATGGGCTTTGGAGTAAAACACACCACTCCAACCACCCATTTCTACATCAGTGAAGAAGAGCCAGCAGCACTCACAAGCCTTTGCTGTTCAGATCCCAACCAGAATGGGCTAGGTTTATTTATAATAAAGAAAAGACAGCTTAGAGACATAAAAATTTGCTTAAACCTACAGAGCTAGAATAAGAATTTAAATTCAGGTTTCAAATCCATGGTTCTTTATACTATACCACCCAAAACCATGACTATAAAAAGAGCCCACCTGCCCACAACATGTTTAATCATGACCAATTCCAAATCACTGTTCTTCAGTGATCCGAACCCACACTATACCAGCAATTCTTTTAAACTTAAAAAAACAAAAACAAAACCCTTTATTTGGGGCTAGAGATGCCTCAGCAGTGTAAGAGCACTAGCTGTTCTTCCAGAACACCCACATGGCAGTTCACAACCATCTGTGACTCCAGACCCAAAAGCATCTGATGCCTTCTTCTGGTCCCTGCAAGCGCTGCATGCACAGGATGGATGTACAGACATGCATGCAGGGAAAATACACACACACACAAAGGAAAAATTTTTTTTACAAAAGCCTTATTTTATGTGCGTGAGTGTTTTGCCTGATGCCTACAGAGGCCAGAAGAAAGTCCAGGTCCCCTGTAGCTCTGGATGGATGACTGGGAGCCACCATGTGGATGCTAGCAATTTAACCCAGGTCCTCTACAAGAGCAACAGCTCTGAACCTCAGAGCTATCCTCCAGTCACCATTCTTTTCAACTTTAAATTGCCAGCAAAACCAAAAACTTAGCAAAAGCTACGATAATTTTAATTATTAGTGTATTATTTATTTAATCCACAACCTAAATCTCAAAATTATGCCAAACACGGTCTTCAAATATTTCAGTATTAAGGAGCCCATTGTACTAAAGCAGGAGAGAACACTTGGAAATTTTGGGGGCACAGGAGGAAAAGGAGTCCACCGTCCCAGAGTCTGGGGAATCTCAATAGCTGAGAAACAGTTCCAGAACAGTTAACACTTGCTATTTTATGCTCATATAGCAATGACCTAAGACTGACACATACAGGACCTTGGGCCTCATTCCTTTCTCCCAGAAAGGGCCAGAGAATCTCAAACAATGAGCTGGAGAGATAGATCAGCAGAAGACCTGGGTTCAATTCCCAGAACTAACACGTTATCTCGTGTAACTCCAGTTCCAGAGATCTAACACCCTCTTTGACCTGCAAGGGTACCAGGTACTCATACACATAAAATAAATGATTGAAAAAAAAAATCTATTAACAGTAAAGGTATCCTACTTTCCCACCATCCTATGGGCTAGACTTCTACTTTATCAATGATAATCCTATAGGTGCCTTCAAGGACAAACCAGTGATAAGAACTTTCAATTCAAGTGACATCCCACAGAAAACCAGGGACTGGTGCCTCACGTTCTTCTGAGTACTTCATTTTGGCCTATCTCTCATGCTGAAGCCACCTTTAATCAAATTTACAACTCTAGTTTCATTTGCTGATTAGTCCTGAAATTATTTCCATGTCAAAGCCACAAACCCTGGTTCAGCATGAGTCAAGACTCCTGAAATGCTAGAAATAACTCCGCAGGCTGCTGAGGTTAACAGCGGTGAATTGTGCTTGCCTTTCTACCCACAACACTGACACAAAGCCATAAACCCAAGGAGTTAGAAGATATAAGAAGTCAGCTATGGCAGGGGTTCGAGGCACAGCTGTCACCCCCCCATGGTGAGGCTAGGAAGGCTGACCCTGAGCTTGAGGCTAGTCTGGGTGCCTAGAGACACCTTGTCTCAAAAAGCAGAACAACAAAAACATACACAAAGCAGGGTGTACTGGTACAAGCCATAATACAGCATTTAGTAGTTTGGGGCAGAAACAGAACCATCTGGAATTATCTAATGAAATCCTGCCTCAAAAACAAAACAAAACAAAACAAAAAACTTTTAAATGATTTATGAAGCAGAGCAAACTATGAGAACTTGTGCCTTACAGTTACAAATTAAAATTTTCTTGGTCAAAGTCAGCTAAAGTATGCAAGTAGCTATGGTCAAGCTGGAAAATGCTGACTAGTTCAACAACATGAGAATTTGTAGGCCAAGTATGATAGTACACATATGTAATCCCAACAGTTGGGAATTGGAGGCAAGAGGATCAGGAGTCATCCTCAGCTACACAATGAGTTTGAGGCCAGCCTGGCCGACATGAGTTTACCCCCACCCCACTAAAAGGCATTTATTGACTAAGTATAGCTGAATAGAAGAATATTTGCTCAAGGCCCAGGGTTTCAACATTAGCAACACACACAGACATATATTTACCAAGACTGATAAATAACTGACAATCACAAGTCACTCTGCCCTCCATTATCCAATAATGTTCTCCTATATGTTCTACCAAAACCAGACAGAAACAAAATGTTCCAGATCAAAACTTCACTGCTGGAGAGGTCAGCAGTTAAGAGTGTTTAGATTATGTGCAAAAACACAGTAATGAATCTTTTACAATGACTTTACAGTAAGAAAACAAGGTGGTAGGAAATGTAAAGAATTATTTTTTTGCTAAGAAGGCTGCACTCATTCCAGACAGCCTAAAAGAGACACTAGGTATGGTGTCTCAGTGGTTCACGTCTGTATAGCAGCTTACAATATGACTTTATAATCAGCACACTACTATGTACATAAATATTTTGAATGCAGAACAGCTTTAACATAAATTAGGATTTTTTTTCTAAGTGGACTCTCTCAATAGTCTTTATAATTGAAGATTCTACAAGCAACCCCCTAAATTGGCACAGGAATCACTCCTACCTAAGGAATTCCAAGAATGTAAAGCAAGCTACCAAGCAATGAAAGGCACTAACAGCTCAGGAAACCTGGACTCAAGTCTTCAAAAAATTAAGTTGGGGAAGTAGCTGAGGTACTGCCGTAAGGTGTCAATGACCAAAAGTAAAATACTGTCTACTTAAATCACAGTAAAACAAATAAATTCTACCAGTCCAAATGCACAGACAGCTTTGCTTTGACAGCCCCTCATACTTCTTGAAAACTATGACTGTTGTGAGGAAAAACATGTAAGTTAGTGTTGAGATCCCTATACTTTCTCAGGCTACAACACAAAGTGATGATAAAATAGATGCATCTCACCATGCTGAATAAAAAAACCAAACACAGTAAATAAAAAACATTACAAGATTTGATGCTGAGAAGCAAACAGGACATAGGAACCATAGTTTCCCTTCGGGAAAGGAAGAATGAGTAATAGCCAATGTAAAGATGGATTTTTTTGAATACTGTTTCTCAGTGATTTCTACCACTGTGCTCATTCTGTGAAAATCCTCTGTTGTGCATTTGTGAAAATTTTCTACATGTAATTACACTTTAATGGTATTTACACGTTTTTAAAAAGGGTGGGGAAAAAAAATCAAAATTTCTCCCCAAGCCAAGAAACATTACTGTAAAAACAACAAGTTTTTACTTGGTGGGAACAGTTCAAGTAAGAATGAAGTTTACTGGGAAGAAGACTGAGTGAAAGAACACTAGCCTCGCATGAGAGGCCTGCTGGGGGGAGATGACAGCTCTAGAGTAGAGGTTGGAGAGTTGTTAAAGAAAAGTATTACTGCCAATTGTGAAAGCACAGGCTAGTAATCCCAGCACTTGGGGGAGGTGGCAAAAGGTTCAAGAATTTAAGACCAACCTTAATTATGTAGCAAGTGCTAGGCCAGCCTGCAACACAAAAGACAGTCTGAAGTAAAGTGTTAGGATCT